GTCTCAAAACTTCCAAAATCCGCCACCAGAGGCGCTGGCGTCGCGCGCCATTGACAGGTTGTTGGACGGAATCTGTATTCATGAGTTGGGGATTCCGCCGCTAGATGGCGCTGTCAAACCAAACGGAATCTGTGTGTCATTGGACACCTGTCATGCGTCATTGGGCATCTCACGCATAGATGGCGTTAACGTCATCTGTCATACGTCATTGGACACCTGTCATTGATGGGTTGGGCATCTCGCGCATAGATGGCGCCGATTTGTTTGGCGCTGTACAAACCAAACGGAATCTATGTGTCATTGGACAGCTGCCATTGATGGGTTGGGCATCTCGCGCATAGATGGCGCCGATGTCGCACCTGTCTGGTGTTGGCGTGGATTACGGGGGGCATTCAACGTGTATACAGGGGTGCATCGAAAAATAGCGGATCGATGGACCGACGGTATATCGTTAAATCGTATATAGCAAGGCGTGACCTAAATAGCGTGGTGGGCTCCTCTGGTCGGTCGGTCGGTCGGTCAGAATGTCTCATAACCTGTATACGATGTACTGTTATTATTATACAGGATGATACCGTTCAAAATGAAAATAGTATAGACATTCTGACAATTATTTCGCAAACCAGAGGTATTTTCAATAAAACTACAATAATACGTTTAATATTTTATTGAAAATAGAAAAAACTACATAGGTAATATGATATTTGAAAACCAGTGGCGTAGACGTTCAACATTTCTCTGGGTACAGGAAAATTGTCCGTTGGTGTGGCATGGATTGGAATCAGCAACAAAGTTTCCAGTAGCACACGGTGTACCATCATACTTGCAAACATCAATAATGTTGGGAAAAACACCAAAAATGTGACATTTCTTGAGAAAAAGTTTGCTTTCTGTTCTCCACGAACGTAGACATAGTCAGCCGCATATATCACCTTATTTTTAATTATTTCATTTAACTTGGAATATTTAACGTCGCCGGAAGAATATTTAAGCCCATGGAAATTCTTCTCCAAGTAAGCGACAGTTTCTTGTCTTTAGTATTTAATGTAGAAAAAGGTTGCGGAGGTGTAAAGATGTAATGACTTTTCTTGAAACCAATTTCGATACATAGTTCTTTAGGTACGAATAATCCGTCAACTGTAAAGCCTTGAATGTCAACAAACGCGATCCTCATGATGTCTGATGCGGAACTGAGAGTCCTTCGTTGCTTACGAGATGGTTTTAATAACTTCGGTGAGGGGGAAGTACTCGATTAAGCAGTCATGTATAATGATGCAGTAGGCCTTGGTGTTGGTTGGAAAGCCAGTATCGGCTTCGATATCCAATCTAACATCAACAGTTGATGATTTCATGGTTTCCTCTTGTTTGGAACAGTCAATAACAAACAAAGCGCGATTTTTAAAAGCGGTATAATCTAAAAGACATCTCTTCAGAGGAGAAGAAGAAGTTGTATAGCTGGTTTGAAAGTCGCTATAGTTGAAATGAGCTTCAGTAAAGTGATTGTTTGCAAAGTCCAATTGCATACGTTCGTTGGGATAGTATTCACCATTTAAAGATACTCGAATACTAGCAGCATTCACGTGATCAAACAGGGTAGGGTCTGAGGTTGCGACGTCACGTTTACCGGTTTGGAAACATACTATAATGAAACGTGGTCTTTCGATTGCGGTGCTAGTTTTAACTGACCATATTTCTCTTCTCGCATCTGCGGTAATTGCAGGCAGTTCATTCAGATCCCATTTTCTAAACGGTATAAGTATCGGCTTATCAGTTTGAATAGCTTTCAAAAGTTGTTCTTTCACATCATCACTCTGGTAAATATGTTTGATTTTCAGTTCCATGCTTTCAATAGTTATTTTCGCTGTCGTCGTCGTTCCAGTTTTTTCCTTGATAATGATACAATCGTTATCGTTTCTAGCTCTCACAAATCTGAGAGTTTGTCTGCCACACGTAATCATAGGATAATCATTGAAAATGTTGAAAATATGTTTAAGCGGCATTAGCAAGCTAAAAGACTTGTTATGTGTTGACGCCATTATAGGTGTTGAAGGATAGTTCCATCCAGCTATAGCCATATGATTTGAGTCTTCCTCACTGTAACATACGTAAGCTCGGACAGTACTTACAATACCAGGATCACGTACTGTTTCAACTTCTCTAGCGGATTCACTGTAAGTGCAAGAGTCAAATAGGAAGGCACCAAAGTTTGGAGCT